AAGGCGCAACCGAATGCGATGGGCAGGGCACGTTTGGAGAATGAACAGCAAATCCTGGCCCAAAATAACCATTGAAGCACCAAAAACCTGGAAGGTGCATAAGAACGCCCCACGGAAAACATGGATGAAGCTGATTGAAGAAGACCTCTCGCGAATCCATTTTACCATACGAGATGGCAAAACTGCCGCTCAAAATCGCAAACAATGGGTGGCGATGGTTCGGGATGCATGCGACTCTACAGCGAAGGGATTGGTGATGCCGTACCGACGCTAAAGACTTAAGTCAAGTAAGTCAAGACTCTAATTTGAAAAAGGAATTCATAAGTCCTTCTCAGTCTCCTGCCTTGGCTCTCACTTTCTTTGTACCCAAAAAGCAAGACCCAGTGCTGTGATGGCAAACCTATGGCACGTGTGCCAGAGGTGGCACCCAGAGCCCTCTCAGTGGGCACACGCGCCATTGCCAGTTGCTCTTCTGGTTTCCAGCATGCACATACGTGCCAGCCAGCTGGTCTTCGCAGGCACCAGAGCACCGGAAAACGGCCTGAAAACAGCCCAAACTGCCCAAAAAACGGAGTGTTTTTCAAGCCAGTTTTGAGGCTGTTTTTTGGGCCGTTTTGAGGCTGTTTTTCAGGCCATTTTTCGGAGCACCCAGCCTGTTTTTCAGCCAGCTGCTGTTCCAATTTCTGGCACATACATACGTGCCAGCCAACTGGTCTTCATTGGAAAACAGCCTGAAAAGTGGCCAAAACCAGCCAAAAAAACAGGCATGTGCACACCGGCCAGCTGGTTTTCGGGTTTCCAGCACTCCAATGACACATGCACGTGCATGCATGCGCGTTCCAGTTTGGGCACTCTGTGCCGAAAGGTTCACCAATCCTACCCTAGTGGGCCTAATAACTGTGAGAAACCTCCAGTGACAGTGGTCCATGATTACAGGGATTTAAATGCAGTCACAGTAAGAGACCATTATCTACTGTCATTAATTCCAGACCTATTAGATAGGCTACAGAAAGCAAGTATTTTTACAAGAAATACTTATCACCTTATTCTAATAAAAGAAGGCCATGAATACTTAACCACCTTTGGCACTAGATAGGGCAACTTCAAACAATCACTACACATCTACAGAAATGCATAAAATCAAGTCTCCTTGAATGTTAACATATGGGTTAATATAAAAGGAAGGGACATTGAATGGTATTGTATGATCAATTCTAATTCACTTTATTACTGTCATACATCAGGGAACAGAACAAATAAAAATACTCAGTAAATATAAAATTAAAAGTTCGAGTATAAAATAATAACTAACTAAAATATATGATAAAATCCAGTCTGTCAATTATACATGGTCTAACTATACTAAAATTACAATCCATAAACTGTGTGGCCTATTGTCAGTTTAATACTAAAAGGGAAAGGAATAAGCAGTGCATAGGATTTGCCACATTTGTTATATAACGTAACTATGGTGGATATGTGTTTCCGATGAATCCCCAGTGCTGCTGCGCAGAACCTAGCCACCTGCACTGTAGTTAAGCAGCCACTAGAAATAAGCAATGTCGGAATGGCCAGGATACCTAGCAATTATTGTCAGAATATGTTTTTTTTCCGAATCTCTGGGTAAAAGGAACATCAAAGGAGTATGTGACCAACAATCTCCACCTCTCCTGAGCCACAGGAACAGAGTCTTTCAGTTAACACATCTTAGTACGCCAAAAAATTGGGGAAGGGAGCAGGACATAGAACATGGCCCCAGATATCAAGAGATCTGCATGAGAACCAAGGACACTTCAGCAGGTGTTTACAAAAACCTGACAACACAACAATATCCGGAGAATGTATTGGACAATGTGACATGAGCTAATTGGGGGGTGGAAAAATGTGAACTTTAACTATGGGGCTTAGCACAGGAAAGAGCTAAATCTGATTTTGCCTTCAACCTTGCCGAAGTGACGTATTCAATAAAGTTTTGCATGAAGAGTATTGGATCATCTCGGTGTTGGTTGCTTTGGTCAGTCAGAACCTTGATATTAAACCAGATTAAACCAGCTGAAAGTTGGGACCTAAGTATATGAGGCCCTTTCCTATTGTGAGGTTGATCGACCCTGTTATGGCAGAGTTAAAGCTGCCCAAGATATTGGGGAAAGTGCACCCAGTTTTCCATTGCAGTTTGTTGAAGCCAGTCCAGGGCTGTAACTTAAGGCCTGTAGGAAAAGAAGTCCCTGGATTAACTATCATGGGAGGAGAGAAACATTACAAAGTAAAACTGATCCTGGATTCCAGATATTACAAAGGAAAATTGCAATACCTAGTGTAGTGGAAGAGGTCCATTTGACATTTGGAGACGTAGTAGACAAACATTTAAGTAACAGCCAGCAATGTGCTGCAAAAAAGCCAATGCTTTTTTTGGCTGCATTAAGATCAGAATCAGGATCATGTGAAGTGTACCGCTTTATAATGTCTTGATAAGACCACACTTGGAATATTGTGTTCAGTTTTGGTCTCCACAATATAAAAAAGATGTTGAGACTCTGGAAAGAGTACAGAGAAGAGCAACCAAGATTATAAAGGGGTTCAGAGGCTAAAACATATGAAGAAAGATTGCAGGAATTGGGTATTTCTAGTCTAGTGAAAAAAAGGACCAGGATGACATGATAGCAATAGTTCAATATTTGCCACTAAGAAGTGGGGTGGGGGGGGGGTGTCAATCAATTTTCTAAAACACCAGAATGCAGAACAATTAATCAAGGAGAATTTGATTTAAAATTGATCAAATTGATTAAAACTAATCAAGGAGAAAACCAATCCAGAACTAAGGAGAAATTCCCTGACAATGAAAATTAACTAGTGGAATGGCTTGCCTTCAGAAGTTGTGGATGCTACATCATTGGGAGATTTTTAAGAAACAGAGCCATTTGTCCAGAATGGTATAAGGACTCTTGCTTGTAAGGGGTGATTGGACTAGAAGACCTTTGTTATTGTTGTTAAGCATTATTGGTCCATCCTATTTATAGGGATGTTACAACAGATGATAATTTATTATTTGTTCCTTCAAGTCAGTCTTGTCTCCTGCCATTGAGTTCACAATGTTTTCTTGGCAATGTTTCCCCCCGAAATGGTAGTCCCTACTAGGACTGAGAGCGTGATTGGCTCAATCTCATTCAAATGGTTCTGTGCCTAAGATGGGACTAAATTCACCAATTTTCAGTTTGTAAGACAGTGCCTTTAACCATGGCACCAAATTGTCTCCAAGTGGATTCTCATACATGTTGAATTATAGATAATAACTTAATAAAAGACAGAAATTTTGAGCCTACTGCTCAGCCCTCATAGGTTGTTGTTAAGAAACAGGGGGAGATTTCAAAAGGTAAGTTCCTAAGAGAAAAGTGAGATAAGGTATATTAGTTTATGATAACGATAGTGATAGTAACAACAGAAAAACAGGAACCTGATATCGATCCAAGATTCGGAAAACCTGGCAAGAAGTTTTGTATACTGCAGAATCTGATGGCAGATAGGCGGCAAGTCTTTCCTTAGTTCCATAAAACTGTTCAACCAAGATAAGAGCAGAATTCACAATATCGTCCAAGTTAAAAAGGGGAAGACCTCTCTCTCGTTTCATCTTTCGGACTATCAGCTTGCGCTTCAGCCGCCGAGCCTCAGGAGTCATGTCTGCTGCATTTAGACAGGCCTCCAAGTTCCTCAAAAGAAGTTTTTCTTCATATATACCAATAGAAGTGTATTTAGACTGAGAATCCTTATGAGCCTGCTGGGTCTTCCGCTTGTTTAGACCTTGCTCTTGAAAGAAGGCATGTCTACTATGATTTTCCACATCATTGACTAGCCTCTCTGCTCTTCCTTCTTCACATATCAGCTCTTGTTTAATCTGATCAGACAGCTTCATTTTCTTTTGGATCATTGTCCCTGATGCACCGGATGGAGGGATGTATTCTATTCCTGGGTCTATCATACCATCCATCTCTTCATCATCTATAAACAAAACAAAATGCCCGAGAAACACTGTAATATTGTAACCAAATACGTTTTCTGCAGATAGTAAATGTTTATACCTAGGAAATTCTGAAAATATGTCAACTTTGATTTATTTTCCTTACAAAGTGTGAGATAAAATCAATATCCCAATTTTTACAAAACAGAAAACTAAAATACAAGTCGTCCTCGACTTACTACAGTTCGTTTAGTGATGATTTGAAGTTACAACGGCACTGAAAAAGTTACTTATGACCATTTTTCATACACCATCGCAGCATGCCCATAAAGAGCCGAGTGGCGCAGTGGGTAGAGTGCAGTACTGCAGGCCACTTCAGCTGACTGTTATCTGCAGTTCAGCTGTTCAAATCTCACTGGCTCAGGGTTGACTCAGCCTTCCATCCTTCCGAGGTGGGTAAAATGAGGACCCNAAAAAAAACCCCACTCGGCGCGGCCACTTCACCTGCATGGTAAAGAAATCCGAGGTCAGCGATTAAAAAAGCAAACACGGGCCGGTTCACGCCCTTTCCTTTTTTCCTCTTCCGGGTCAGAACATCACGAGGAGAGGGGAGGAGGGAGGGGCGGTCGTCGGGCCAGCGATGGCGGCTCCAGAGCAACCGGAGGCTGAGGTACGTTCGCCAGGTTCGCACGTGCTGCGCCCGCGGGAGCTTGTTGTGGAAAAGGTGACGGTGGCGGCTGCGCCTGCCCGCGGGGCGTGCCTTCATTTGAGAACCTCCGAGACTAATAGGTAGAGACGCGAAATGAGAAGAGGGGGTCGCCAGGGAGTTTGGGTTTTTTGGCGGAGGCGAAGGGCGCCGCTGGAAGTAGCCGCTCCGGTGTTGCAGAGCGAGGGAGGGAGGGTGCAGCGAGGGGTGCATTTCCCAGGAACCGGTGACAGCGCCGGACCTGGTGAATGGTGAGGCTGTTGCACACCTGTTGCACGGAGAAGGTCTGCGGATGTGGTCCGTTTAAAAAAGAATAAAAACAATCCAGTTTCCAGCTTTAAAAGCTTTTTGTAAGACACGATTGTGATGCCGTTACAGTTCCGCAACGGAACGCAACTGTTATTTTGATACTGCGCCTGTAGAGGAAGTGTTAAGTTAGACAACGTTTTCAGCCTAATTTGGGTAACGAAGGATCAGCGGTCGGTAAACCAGCTGGAGATGTCCCAAAGGTGCTTTTTGAAGAGGCAACTGGAGCACCTTTGGGACAACCGTGACCTGGATGACTTAGAATCTCCATAGACATTATCTGCAGATGTTCTCCTATCAAAATCAGAAACTGTCACCTCTAATCGCCCATCTTCCCAGGGTCTTGCTCTCCGTAGTATATCACTCACTTGGCTCCAGCTCTTATTAGCTAAATAGTTGTATGTAACTTTACTTGGATAGCCCACTAATGGAATAGAATTTACTTTCAAGTGAGTTTTGTCTATGTCTCAGTTTACTACTGCTAAGAAGATGGGGAAAATGGACCTTGAATAAAATTGTCTTATTTAAACCAGTATGTCTTGAGAAAAGGTTAGCATGAGAAACATTTGCTTGATGCTGTTGGCTGTCATTAGATCATCTTCTGTCACTTGTAATGTGTCATTTCATGGAACATGCTTGCTTCTTCTGCCACTTGTAAACATATTGTTTCATGGAACATGCTTGCTGGAAACCTGTTTGCAGCAAAAATATTTAATATGGTTGACTTTATTAGAATTTTACACATTATTATTGAAATGATTTTCCAAAGCAATAGAAACCATTACTTACCACATTACCATATTAGCCAATTAAATATACCAAGAGCTAGCCTGTTACAGACAAAGATTAGAGAAATTTGGGTTCTCGTCCAACCTTACCTGTGGAAATGTTTTTGTTTTCAGTCAAATCTGTTTAAGCCTCTAATCTGTGTGAAATTTTCCAAAACCAACAATTCTCTTGTATATTCCCCAAAAAATACAAATCCAATTTATAGCTAAACTGTTTTTAAAGGATATTCACTCATTAATTTCACTTGCCAGTCCGGAAGTTCTTGATCTTTAAAGAAAGCCAAAGAATTAAAAAGTCCAAAATGATTAAGAGATGAGCCCTTTAAGAGTCCATATAGGCAAATTTAATGCTATAAGCACAATGGAATTCTGTGATTCTGAGCTGATTAACAAGTTGCAAAGACACAGTTCCTGTCTCCTCCCCCCAAAAAATGCAGCTGTGTGGGCAATCTATCTTTAACTTAGCCATCTAATTCCTGCAGTTGGAACACAATGTGTTCCATTCTCTTCACTTCACCATATACAAATAAAAAGGTAGATTAAAAAAAGAAATAATACATGGTCATGAATGCTCAGGATTCCTCATGCAGTACACTACCTACTGTCTTTGTCAAATTTTCTAAGATTTAATTGTAGATACTATTTTCAATACCATTTCATTTCTAGGTTGATGAATTTTTCACATTTTTTTAATCCAGCAATTTACCTGTGACTTTTTGTTAGATCTGTCAGAATTATTCTATAAAGCGGAAGAAAAAAGTGTAGTTAAATAGCAATAGCACTTAGATTTATATACTGCTTCATAGTGCTTTACTAGACACTAACCGCTTGGAGAGCACTACATAGTACTCTCTAAGCAGTTTACATAGTCAACATGTTGCCCCCAACAATCTGGGTCCTCCTTTTACCAAATACATACCAAATAGCTTTTTAATGATTGAAAAAAAATACATGGGCATATTTCTTTTCCAAAGGCCCAGATTGTTGGGGGCAATATGTTGACTCTGTAAACCGCTTAGAGAGGGCTGTAAAGCACTGTAAAGCGGTATATACGTAAGTGCTATTGCTAATGATTTTTTTTAAAAAATTTGCAGATAGAGGAGGCTGGACAGGTGTTCCTTTTGATGAAGAAGGACTATCGAATTTCACGTAATGTGCGACTAGCCTGGTTTCTTGGTCGTTTGCATCAGGTTATCTGCTCAATGTCTGAATCTGAATTGGTGAGTAAATTTTATTGCAAAGCTTCTAGACATTTGTTTGTAATGTGAGAGAAGAAGAAAAGGGCTAGTTCTTGTGGTTTGTGGAAGAGTAATTCATGTACGGAATTCTGTGATTTCTTTCAATTTTTGCTTTTAGCTTTGTCTCTATTTTATTTTTTTGTTTTGTTGAAGGTAAAGTCAGACAGTGAGTTAGATATTCTCAGCATCCTGCCAAACAGCTGGCAACCTGATGAGCCTTTACAAGCTAAGCCGTACCTCCTAGTGCCTTCAACACATGTCACTTTCCTTGCACACCGGTACCGTTTTGTGATTGAACTGGATTTGAGTCCATCTACAGGGATTGTAGTAAGTATATTAATCTCTCCAAATTGTAATTTGAGTTTCTCCATCCTTTTTCTTTGGTTGAGAGTGCTTCCTGTTCAGAACTCTAAAATACATCCCCTATGAAGAGAAACCTGCCTACTAGCTCCTATTTTTTTAAAATCTACCTTACATTTATGGAGATGTTTAATCTGCATATGTTCACTGGTGAAAATTATTATGAGTTCTGAATATTTAAAATGTAAAATTCTTAAGGCATACTTCCAGTGAGTGGAGATAATTAGCTCTGAGGTAAATTATGGAAAACTTGCATATCCTCTCTTTTTTTTTCCAGGATGATTCTCCTGGGGAGATAATTTTTGATGAAGTGTTCTATGCTCTCTCAAGGTGTTTAGGAGGATTGTTAAAACCCTTTAGAATCCCAGGTTCTGATATTTTATTTCAACCTGAGATTTTCATCACTATTCAAGCATATTCTTCTATCATTAGCTTACAGATGCATCAGGTAATTCTTATATCTTCAGTTTTGAGATGTTTAGGTGAAATGCTTAAACTGTTTAGAATTAAAATGACTTGTTGCCAATGAATAAAGTGATGGACTGTAATCTGCAGTATTTTAAAATGGGCTAGGTAGCTGAATTATTTGTAGGCATTTTGGACTTCATTTTCCATAATCTGTAACATTGACATGTTTTATGAAAAACATAGTCTAAAACATTCGATGCCAGGCTGTCTATCTGTGTTGTAAAGAACATTTGTTGACTAGAACATATTGCACGTAGATACATCTTCTGCCTAACCCTTTTTTATGCAGTTGGTTTGATCAGCAAGAAAGGTGACTATTGACTCAGGCAAACTTTACATCTTTGGTCTAATTATATCAAACATAGATGTAATTTATGTTTTTGAAAATAAAAATATTTATTGTTTAACATAAAATGTGAGTTCTTTGTGTTGGAATACTTGTGCAAAATAGCAAAAAAAATGAAACCCAAACCATGTTTTGTATGAATATAATCTGTTTGAATCTGCTTTTAAAAAATGTTCTTTGTTAGTGAACTGATATACTTCCCTTTTTAAATTTTCTTGGGTTTCGTTGGTATAGCATTTGCAGGATTTCATTGCCAAATAAAACGCACACATTTTTTTCCCCCATGGCCCAGGTGCTATTCCAAGGTTGCCTGTCGAATGGAACAAAGACAGAAACCTTTTTGAATCAGGTTTATACACAGTTGTGCGCCTTTGAAAACAAAGTGGCTGAGATGCTCCAACACCAATATGAAGCCAAAACTCAGGTAAGAAGCCATAGTAATTGTTTTGTTCTTGAATGAATGGGAAATTTCTTCATATTCTTTCATGTTGTGGTCTTTTTCTGTTTTTCCCAGCAGTCCACGCTAGGACCTTCCCCTGGGGGGCATGGAGGGACAATTGTTTCTACACAGAGGGATTTTGTTGAGGCTGACTTAATTTGGTTTACAAAAATGGTTTTGCGATATATTCTAATTAATTTGCTTGCCTATCCACGGCAAATTGATCAGCTAAAAAGGAAAGGCAAGAAAACAAACATAAATTCAGACTCAAATTAGAAATGTATAATTAATAAATAATCTATTATAAATAGTATAATATACTATATTATATACAAAATAGTATAGTAAAATGTATAATTATACATTTATAATTATACATTATATAAATTGAGACATTATCTTTATTCCTATTCCTATTCTATTTTATTCTATTCTAGAGTCTCTTATGCTAATTATAAGCCTATAGTGTACAGATGACATGTTCAGCTTTAGATATTTGCAAAAAGGAATACTGGGGTACTATGTTTAATAGGCTGTGAATATATTGAAACACTGTAGAATATTAAATCTTTTATGACTTATGTAAATTGTCTTAATTATGAAAAAGAAACTGGCTTTAATTATTTCAATACTTTATTGGAATATAAAACTTGAAGGTACCTGGAGTGGAAGACAATGTGCTTTGTATGCCCTGGAATGTGGAGATAATAATTATTAGTACTGAATGTTAGTTTCTAAAAGTATTATCTGAAAGGGCAAGACACATGAACGTTAGAAGGACCCTAATAACTCAAATCGAGGGCATATTTGGAGCTCTAAAATAGAGATTTATTGTCTTATTACCCTGATTATTATCCTGATAGGGGGAAGCTCTTTCACTTTTGTTGAGGATCAGAATAATTCTATTCTTACTTCAGATGACTCCTATCTGGTAGATAATGGAGCAATAGAAACAGTGCTCTAGAATAAGTTAGTTGAATGGGTATTGTTGGAGGCATGTCCTATAGGACAGTGATGGTGAACCTTTTTCTTATGGTGTGCCAAAATTGCAGGCACACTATTGTGCGTGTGCACATGCCCACTCAATTTCCCCCCCCACCTGCACATGCACACGCGAGACGCCCCACCTCCCCAGGCTCTGGGATCGTTCCCGAACTTCCAGTTGGCCCTTTGGGGGCGTTTTTTGCCCTCCCCAGCCTCCGGAGGCTTTCTTGAAGCCTGGGGAGGGAGAAAAACGGTCTCCCCTGGCCCTCTGGAGGGGCGAAAATCAGCTGGCACGCTGGAGTTGATGGCTGGCATGCCACCAAATATGGTTCTGCGTGCCATAGGTTTACCATCACGGCTATAGGATGTTGAATCAAAAATATTTTTGAAGGCACTACATTTTGCTACCTTAGCAAATTGATTTTTTTTTAAACTAAAGTTTCTTTTTCAAGTTTCTGTAGCATGTCTACTTTTGTGAGAATGAATGAGAAACATAATATGGGTAGTCATAGTTTAGCAACAGCAATTGGGACCTCTGTCATTAAATGAAGTAGTTGCTGAGTGAAAAATTGTGTGACTGCAACTGTGCTTGTGATTTACTTCAGCTTTAGTTTACAGCATCAGAAGGATATGGTCTCAAACAGCTGGCAGAGCCCATATAGTGAGGAAGGTTTCAAGAATTTGACTTGCAAAGAAGCTGGCTGAAAGGGCAAATCTGCTTTTTCCCAACTCCGTCTCCCTTTGGAATACTCACCCCAGGGGCAGGATAATTAGCAAGAAGGAAATTAATGTTTGAGTTTACATTAATTGGTGAGGTAGGGATTGTAAAAATAAGTAGGTGCACAATGGAGAATGCACATTGAAAAGAATGTGCTAGTGCCCAGCTGTTCTCACTGGAGAGTTACAAACTACTTAGACAAAATAGCCTTCATTGTGAAATTGATTTATATTTGTCAGAATGGGGCAGCAGGCTGAGCCAGCCAGGGAATCTAACCAACTAGAGTCACAGCTGAGTTTGTTAATTTGCACTGGGAAGAAAAGCAGCTCAGGAAGAGAGAACTTATTTGGGCAATGTATCTGTGAGAAGAGGGGAAAATGGCTCAGTCACAGGCAACACGTACTAACTTAGTGGCAAATGTGTGACTAAAAGATGCTGCGAAGATTGTAAATGCAGGCATTGGTTGCAAAATTACTTTTACATCATTGTTGTAATTTGCACATGGTTGCTGTTTGAAGCAGTCACTAAATGAGGACTACTAGTACCTTCATTCTTAAAGTGGATAGGAACTTGGTGAAAGAAAGCTGGGTTTCTTGGCCTATACACAAGTATTTATTCTTTCCTGCTGATTGTTGTTCTGTATTGTTGATTTTCCTTTGCAATTTCTAGAGCATTTTCCCATACTTGTTTAGAAAGCTGAAAACGTTTCTCAGCAAAGGATCAGTAACAGTGAACGGGAGTCAGTTGCTTGATGGAGATGAGCTCAGATAGGAACTATAACAGTAGCTAACAAAAGTTGATGACTCTAGCATTTCCTAATTGAAATCCTACTATAATTGTTCTGTTGCTTTTTCCTGACATTTTAGTTTCAAAAGGTATGATTTTATTAATATTTATATTTGGCGATATTATTTTTAGGTAATTTCTTAGTGTAAAGGCACTTTGGCTGTCTTAACTTCAGGCTGTGCTCCAGGCAAAATTGTGCTCAGGCGAGCTTTCCTCTTGGGAATAGTATACTATAAAATTTTGTCTCAATGTTCTTAGTGCTAAACAAAATAAACGGAAATAGATGCTGCTGAAAACTAGCTGTACAATATAAATACATACCAAATCCAGCTACTAAATTTTTTTTTAAAGTGAAAATGTTATTCATTGTACAGCAGACAAGGTTATTGAAGAAAACAAGCAAAGTCTGGGGAAGTTCTGAAACAGTGATCAGTTCAGAGGAAACCAGCTTTAGCCACCTAAAATCTATTGAAGGCAAGAAGCCTGGTTTAGTGAAAAAATCAAGCTACTCAAGGTAATATACCATATTGCAATTACAAAGCAACAGAGTTAGGACAATCAGGAGAAAAAGGAGAATTGAAAACTATTTCAGCTGATGAAAAATCTAGTGAGAAAATACGCTTCTCATTTAATGCTACCCTGTTTTGTATCCATTCACAAATAAGAGGGTAATGAAACATTTTCTGACCACTATAGACACTTACAACCAAATTTTGTCTGCCTGATAAGCACAAGCTGGGTGAAAGTAATGCTGGAAAAGATGTACAAGAGACCTTTATCTAAATGAGATGGCGGCAACTAATTTTGCAACACATTTGTGTGTCGTATGTTTGCTTAGTAGTCATTTGACTTCAAATTTAGGGAACACAGTGGTTGCTAAATGAGAGGATGTGTATAATTTTGATTAGTGATATTATGACAGATTAAAATAGCAAACCTCTACGTAACAAGACAAATTAGGACAACAGAAGTATTTTAAGTAAATTTTAAGCCACCGAGCCCCAACTATTCTAAACGCTAGCATTAATTGTAACTTCATAAATAGAAAAACCAATAAAGGCTCACCAAGCCTGGGAAAATCCAAAAAGCTGTTAGATTGTTTGAAGTATGGAAAGATCTTAGATCAGATGAGCTTGGTCCAGAAATATATTTCTTCAAAAGATACCCTGCCCTAGTATCTTGATTTCTAAATTTGAAGTTTTATTCAGGAAAATATGGGAAGCTGAAATCTTGTCAAAAACATAAAAAATGGTGGTTTCCAACACAAGAAAGAAAAACCAAACATAACCTCATAGTTATTTCTCTGCTGGGTGCTAAATCGGATACAAAACTATTGAAAAATATGTTTCAATTGTCATTTGAAAGTGGTAAACAAACTAGAAAATCAAGTTGGATTTAGAGCTACATGTGTAGTTGCACTGATCAAGTAACTATTAGAATTGCAGTTTAAATTTTGTCAAGAAATTTATATAGTATTTATTCAAAGTAACAGTTGATAGCATGCACTATGACAGCATCTTGGGTCAAGCTTCTAGCATATGGAACTATACCTAAAATACGCTGAAGGTTTTTTTTTTTTTTAAATCATGCTGCAAACTGTTAGATTGAATGACAACATATGGAATCCACAGTCAAGATTTCTCTATTAAAACTGAATTCTATTAGGGTGGTATCTCTTTTTGCTACTTTTATTCAATATACAGATGGATTATATTTTGGGAAAACTTGTTGCCTGGAAAGGCTGGTAGCACTCTTATGTATTAATCCAGTTCAATAATTACAAATTTAACCCCTATTGATAATACAATCATCCTAGCCAACACTTGAGAACTACAAGAAAGTATTAGTTGCGGTCTGTATATATGAAGGCAAACTGTTGCACAGGAAGGGGTCACCATTGAGAAGATCTGGTCCTGCTCTTCTGATCAGGTTCTGCTGATGAAACTCTATAGCGGACAGGACCCTCTGTCCGACTTTTTACTGAAAAGCCGGACGTTGAGTTTTAAAGGCTTAAAGATAATAACTAGCATCTCAAATTATCCTTGGAAATTGACAGATAGGTGAAGACATGTTACGTAAGTAAAACTAGATGTACCCATCATTATTTAGACTATTGAATGCTGATCAGGTTTAAGTTGTTCAGATAATCTTCAAGGGCAGCCTCAGGTAGAGCCCCATGTAGAGAGAATTCCAGTAGTCTAGTTGTATTTATATGACCCAATGAATCAGTGAAAACTGACTTTTGAGAGGAATTAATAATTTTAAAAAGGCTTAAGATACCTGTAATAAAAAAATAATTTCTGAGGTATAGTTAATAGAGTTTCTTCTGTTCTTGCAGGCGGACTTGTCATCCCTTAACCAGGAGCATGTTTGTGACACTCAGGAAATGCCAGGGAAGAAGTTGGGGGTTTCAATGGTTACAGCTGATGTTGGACTTGTCAGTATGATTCGACAGGGAATTTTGGCATTGCAGCTTCTTCCTTCCAATTCCACTGCAGGTAAGTGGGATCTTTTTAAAAACTGTTTCAGAGTCCATCTCTTTTGTTTAGTTAGATAAAGGGAAACAATGAAGGGAAATTAAGTTAGACTTGTGTACTCTTGTCTGGATCAGTTCTGTTAAATTTATATCATATCTTTCTTCCAAGAGCAGCAGAATATATAGCTTACTCTTCTGTTTTTCCTCTGTAGTAATAACTACGGCATTTGCAACATTGCAAGGTTTTGCTTTGCTTCTCTGAGCCTAGAAGTAAATTAACTCCAATATAGGGAATTGTTGAGTTCTTTGTTTAGGAATGCCTGTTGAGGTTTTTCTATAGTTTCCAATCACCTATGACAAGCCTTTTGCTCTGAGCACAGTACAGATTATAACTGCAATGATCTAATTGTGAATGAATAACAGATTAACAAAATTGGAAAGGACCTTGGAAGTCTTCTAGTCTTATTCCTGCTTAAGCAGGAAACACTACATCATTCTGGACAAATGACTGTCCAGTTTCTTCTTGAAAACATCCAGTGATGAAACATCCATAACTTTTGGAGGCAAGCCGTTTCACTGATTATTCTCACTGTCAGGAAATTTCTCTTTGTAGTTATTGTAGATGTTCTGTGTAAAAGTAATAAAACTACGGTTGTAATATTATAAAATGCATGCTGGAAATCAGTAGAATTGGGGAAGAAACCTACTGCGAATAATTATTTCAGTGCCATCAGCCCTATTTAATTGCAAAAGGGTTTTGCAATTAATAATAGGATCTAATTTAGAATATAACGATTACAGTAGACCAACAAGTTGTGTTTTTTTAATTTTAAATTGGCCTTGTCATCAGTTTTGTTTAATATGTATCTTGTTAGACATTCAGGAAAAGGGCCATTACTGTTTTCTACTTAGTTATTTTATCTCAGCACTGTTACTTGCAAATCTCTCTCAGAGCTTAATTTTTGCCTTCCATGATGGAATGTTCACTCATGTCTATTTAGTGCTGATAGTTGTTGTTGTTATTTGAAGGGATCATTGTGATCACAGATGGTGTCACCAGTGTGCCAGATGTAGCAGTCTGTGAGACTCTGCTCAATCAACTACGCAGTGGGACTGTGGCCTGCTCTTTTATTCAGGTGCTGTTGAAAGTACATGGGCTGTGGGCGCATGATTGCATATTTGTGAATGTACTGTAGTTAGTACTAATACTAAAGACAGAAGCCATCTACCTCTAATGGCAATATGAAACCTAGTGCTTGCTTATTAAATGTACAGTGGAACCTCGGGTCACGGACGCTTCTGACCACGACCAAATTGGGTGCCAACCAAAAAATTCGCTAAATATTTCACTCTGTTCACAAACACATCCTTGGGTGGCAATCAATCACAGCCGCAGCGATTTTCCCTGCTGCAGCGATTTCCCCTTCTGCAAATATTTTGTGTGTGTGCACATGCGCAGTCAGTCTTGCTTCCAGTCATGACCAAATTAGGTGCTGACCGAAGTCCTGGAATGGATTACGGTCATGACTGGAGATTCCACTGTATTGACCTTTTCAGTATTTGGTTATAACAGAAGGAGAAATTATTTATGATGATACCAGAAGTCTAGTTATAGTACTTAGTTCAATGAGCAAATGCTGATTCATGGTTTGATCATTAAGGCTGCAATCCACAGTTACTTAACCAGGAGTAGTTCCTGTTAAATTTAGTAGATCTTAACTTCTGAGTTGATATCTGCAGAAGTGCACATAATGCTTTTAAATTTAAACAGTGAAATAGCTCAAGGCATATAGTTTGTTCACATGTGTGCATTTAATTTGCATGTGTATGTGATACGTGTACAGTATATTCATGTATATGCATTATTTGATTGAAGCTTCAATTTTTTATCAGTTAGAGATAAGGTATGCATTTAGATTTATGTAAATATATGAACCCATTGGAACCTTTGCACATTTCAATGGCAGGGCAATTTCATGCAGCAATTCATGTTAGAGGAAAAATACTGATGGTAAGACTTGCTTCTCTTTTTTCATGTTTTTCTGGTTTAGAGACCAGAAACAAAGGTGCTTTTTCAAGAGGCAACTGGACTTTCTGATTTTTCTTTGAAGACCTTTCGCTTCTCATCCAAGAAGCTTCTTCAGCTCTGACTTCTTAGATGAGAAGTGAAACGTCAAAGAAAACTTCAAAGAAAAAACAGTAAGTCCAGTTGTGTTTTGAAAAAGCACCTTTGGGACAACCATGACCTGGATGACTGAGAATCTCCGTAGACATTTAGAAACCAGAGTAAAAGTATGCTATATCTAGAAATATTTTCTGTCACTACAACTACAGCATTGAAGATATCCATAATTTCTAAATTGAAATAGAACTAAGTTCAACATAAGAGAGGGAACCTGTTCTTCACAAAGTTATTGTTGCTTCTGTACATTCTTTTTCTGTCTTGTAGGTGGGAGGAGTCTATTCTTATGATTGCAGTTTTGGTCATGTTCCTAATGTTGAGCTCATGAAGTTCATTGCAATGGCGACATTTGGCACATATCTTTCCACATGTCCTGAAGTTGAGCCTTCTAGTTTAGACATGAACGTCTACCATAAAGCTTTTCTCCCGTATTCCTTTCTGCGCAGTGGGGAATCCTTGAATCCTGAATATTACTGTGGTAAGCTTACCTTCCGTGGACTTAGATGCAGTTTCTCAGTCTTATCTACTCTATCTTCACCTGTGCAAGAAGACAAGAATCCTGGGTCAGATTGAAATGTGGGACTAACCAGTAGTCCATTTTGCCAATGTTAGTGAGAATAATGGGTTTTGCAAGAGGGAAATAGATGGGTCTCTATAATTCTATGAGGTCTTCACCTTTCAAGTTTTGAAACCTCTATTGACCAAAGCTAAATAAAAATGGTAGTTAACTATAAACAGATTGAAGGAATTCATTTTTCTCTTTAGATGCTTTGAGGGTTGTAGTTATTTGCCTGGCCTTCATTATTGCTGCAAGTGATGAGGTGCAGGATGAGGAAAAATAATGCTATATTTACTGTTTACACAGCTACATTTGTCACCCATGTGCAAAGGGACATAATAAAATGCTTGAATTCCTGCATTGAGATTCCTGAAGTGGCTCATGGTCTCATAGGAGGAAGAAATAGTTCGTGGAATAGATCAGTTTGGAAATAACACTTGCATGGTGTTTGCTATCATTGCAGTGTCCCAGCACAGATTATTCAATGAACATCTTGTTTCTGCAAGCAGCAACCCAGCCCTTGCCTTGAGGCGAAAGAAGCATGCAGAAAAGGAGGTCCATGCTGATCTTATTAGTATAGTCTCTGTGCGGCTACGAGAAGGCTATAGTATCCGTGAGGTCAATATTACAAAAGGTGATTGTTCAGTGTTTTCTTAGTCTATTTTGGGCAGTATATGTTGCCAGTTGTGATCAGGGACATGCATTATATTCCTTCTGGGAGCTGCACTTTTCACAAAATGGTTTCTAAGACCTATAAGGGATGGCTGGCAACGCACTAGAAGTCATTGAAGGAGGTAAGGTTGAAAATAACTGTTCTTTTTGGGACAGAATTTTTTTAATGCAAATTAGGGGGTGTGACAGAGGCTTCAAGTATCCAACACCCCCAAAAAACAAAGTCTAAAAAGAACCATGTGATCTGAAATCAATGAAGCTGAATTTCACAGTATTAAGCATTCTGAAGGTTGTAGAAATATTGCTGGGGGATGATCCTACTTCTAATCTTGAATATAATTTGTTTGTTGAGTAGCTTTTAAAATTATGTCTGTAAAATTTATTGTCAAATTCCATCTCATCTGGGAACTCCCAGTTAATTTATTTTAACAAGCTGCTAACTAAAAAATTACTGTGAATACAAGCAGTGCTTTGAGTTCTATAAAAGAATAGTGGGATAGAAATGTGCCAAAACAATGTTTTGCTTTATGGGACTGACTGCCAAATGCATATTTTGTTCCTGAATGCTTGGGGTGCCTGATTCATGCTTAAGATATGTGAGTAGAGTAGGCAAAATTCCATCATCTTGTTCAACAAATGGCAATTAGTGGGATTCTGCATAAGGGCAATATTTGTTTGTATAGTGTCCTGTTTATTGGTAGCTGGATCAGTTACTGTAATGAGTTGTAATTGTTAAAAGCCCATTGTTGATCTGCATTTCTTTAAATATAGTTATAAATGTGTAACATAAAAAATGAGAAATCTTGTTTTATCTACTTTTCATTAAAAAAAATCACAGTGGATAAAAGATGGCAAGCAAAATAGAACATTAGCTTCACTGATATTGAAATTGTTCCTTTAATTGGTTTTAAAAAATAACTTTGCCATTGCTATGCTTCCCATCCTAGAAAATATTAATGGGGTGTTTTCAGAAAAGCATTTCATAAATATTAACTAGTATTGTAACTCTAGTTTCTAAAATAAATTAAAGCTAGAAATATGGAGTGTATTCCTGCAGTGTCTTCTCTGGCTCTTCCAACATGACCATTCAGTGGGGCAATAACATTCAGAACAATCAAGATAAATCAGTAAGAGAGACATCAAACACAGAAATAAGTAACATAATGTAAAAATTAATCTGGCATATAGACATGCTGATTTTGGCAGAAACTGTGTTTTAGTATTTTATAAAGGCAGACTTTGTAAGAGGGGGGGGGCGCTAGGGCTCTTCTATTAAAACACATTCCTAATTCCTCTTGCACATTTACAGGTGGTACTCAACTGGAAGTGAAGCTCATCTTGCTATGGAAGCACAATATGAGAATTGAGTATTTGGCAGTGGCCCCCTGGCCCCTTGATCCTTTGAAACGTAGCACATGGGTGGAAGTGACTATGGAGGGCAGCTATGACATTTTGCACGACATCAGTTGCACTGTACGGAAGCCCATCACCAGCCTCTATCGCACCACTGTGATACGCCGCTTCTGGAACACCCTGCAAAGGTGAAGATTTCCTTGGTGTGCCCTTTCAGTGGGGCTTCCCCCTCCCCCCAGGGCTATGAGCAATGTGGAACACTACCCTTTAATTTGTTTAAATGTTTTAGTCCCAATAAGGAATGTTAACATGAACAATGTTTATAAACTAGGAACTCTTGTTGATCTTGATTGTTTTCCTCATTTCTATTAGGATATTAGAAAGAGCTTCACTGTTAGGCAAAAATATGTTTGCTTCTAGAGAAACCTCTTTAATGGGAGTGAGGGATTGTTTTAAACACATCCATTTCTAATCTTCTATATATATATAAAAATGGCTGTGTGTGTGTGTGTATTCCAGCATAACTCTAGAACACCTTGAGCAATTTCAAGCAAACTTGGTACATAGATGAGTTACTCTTTGGAAAAAAATAGTGTGGGAGTAAGACACCCCTAACACCCCTCGGGGAGTGTGTTCTGTTAAGATACAGCCTGTTGTGCTTTAAAATGGCTTCTACTGTACTGCCATGAAATGGCTTCTACTGTACAGCGCAGTGCAATTGCCAACTTCAGAGTACTCCACAAGAGGGCTCCCTCTTGTAAGGGGGAAAATCCAACATTAGAAATTGCGTTTGGTCCGGACATTTTCCCCCTATAAATAAATATCCGGGCAATGCTGGGATATCGGCTATTAGAATATAAATTGTGACTTAAAGATCCTTGAGGGGGATTTTTGTTGTTCATTTTTCAGTATCAACCAAACTGACCAGATGCTGGTTCATCTGCAGTCATTTGACAGCGTCCCAGAGCATTTCACCATTCCTGAAAGCACTCGAAATGGAGTGCCACTGTTCTATATTCCTCCAGGATCTACTACACCGGTACATTATTTGTATATTACTAGCCAATTTGCAGTAAGATCAAGCAAGAAGTAATATATAAGTAGCTGCCTTTTTAGCAACCTTTATCTAAGTTGCTGCCTAAGTTACTGCATTCCTTTTTCTGTCTTAGAGGGTTTAAAACTTGCTTTATATTTATCTCTCTTAATATCTCAAGTTAGTAAGGTAAAGCATTTGGTTGTGTGATTTGATGAGGGAAGGATGAAGGAGAAAAGGCAATTGCATTTCAAATATATGCTGCGTATCTCAATTCTGTATTTTCAGCTCTGCTTTCTCACTTCTGGAGGAAACAGTATATGCTGTTACAGTAATAATTAAATAAGGGTGCTCAGATTCTTGATTATTTGGAATCATACCTTGGCAGCAAAAGGTTAGAAGCAACAGGTTCAACATACTTGCTGTTACCTTAAGTTAATGTAGCCAAATGTTGCAGTAAGAGCAGCTATGCTAAATTAACACGCCAAACAAATATTCTATGTATCACTTATTTATTCTGCTGTTTGTGCTGCTCATTAGAGCTATCATGACTGGTTATTGTACGCCATTTGTTAAAATGAGAGAAATGAGATTATACAGTTTACATTCTTTTTTTTAATAATGGGTGGACTTCAACTCCTACAATTTCCCAACCAGCAGAGTTGTATAATCTCAGAAACAAATAAATTGCAACTATTAAGATACTAATAACAATAAAAGTTAAATATAGGCTATAGCAGTATTTCTCAACCCTGGCCAGTTTAAGATGGGTGGACTTCAACTCCCAGAATTCCCAAGCCAGCAGAGCTAAATACAGGTAGTCCTTGACTTATGATCACAAAGGAGCCCAAAATTTCTGTTGTTAAGTGAGACATTTGTTTTGCCCCATTTTACCACCTTTCTTCCCTTAGTTGTTAAGTGAATCATTGCAGTTGATAAGTTAGTTAATACGGTGGTTAAGGGAAACTGGCTTCCCCATTGACTGTGCTTGCCAGAAGGTTGCAAAAGGTGATCACATGAACCCGAGACACTGCGACCATCATAAGTATGAACCAGTTGCCAAGTATCCAAATGTTGATCACATGGTTATGGGATTGCTACAAAGATAAGAGTGAAAAATGGTCATAAATCATAAATTTCGGTGTCGTCGTAACTTTGAACAGCCACTAAATGAACGGTTGTAAGTCGAAAACTACCTGTAACTGCCTAATACGTTTTTTTTCTAAAATGTTGAAACAACCAGTTGCACAGATGCAAACAGATTCATGAAATATGGTTTCTGCCATTTCCAGGTCCTGTCCTTGCAGCACAGTAGCTCAGACTCCAGTCACTCACAGTTTGCAGCCTACTGGAAACCCATCCTGTCGATGGATGCCAATCTCTGGCAGAGGTGGTTGCACATGCACCGCATTGTTATTCTGCTGGAACATGACATGTACGTGCAAGAAAACATACACGTATCATGGCACGGTATTTTAACATTTCAAGGTTTCAGAGCTTACCAGCCATTGTGTTGTTATTGATGGCTGAGAGACAACAGAGGTTGAGAAATAAGGTCTTGCATGTGAACTTTTCCTAGGGTAGGGATAATGGGGGATAATGATGATACCCGAATAACAGGCACTAACTAACTATTTGATCTGTTTGATAGGCCAGTCCCAAAGCATTTACACACCCCCGGAAACAATGGTCGTTACAGCACCATCCAGTGTCGCATTTCCCATTCAGCTCTGACTTCTTTGCTGCGTGACTGGAGTAGTTTTGTGCTGGTAGAAGGCTACTCTTATGTCAAGCTCATGCACAGGTGAGGGAATTCAGGGGCAAAGGGGAGAAAGAGCTGATCCGTTGAAGGCCATGAAGATATACTATCCAATGGGGATAAAAGGTTTTTGCATAAGTTTGAGCCAGTCACGGTGAGTAAATAACTCTTAAGAGGAAAAGCTCATTGAGCATTTCATACTCATTCATTAGTACAGATAGTCCTACAAACCATGACTGAGCCCAAAATTTCTGTGGCTAAATAAGACATTTGTTAAGTGAGTTTTGCCCCATTTTACCACCTTTCTTGCCACAGTTGTTAAGTGAATCATTGCATTTATTCCCAAAACAAAAGCCCCTGGTTTCAGTTATACTTTAATCTTTAAATTCTTCTGAAGTAGTGCATGTATTTGTGTCCAAAAACTCTTGGCTTTTTTTTACACAAATATATCCAACAAATATGATAAAATGTCCCTTCACTTATTCTTGGTACCACAATAAATTTATTCAACTTGCTATTTCTTTCTTGTTCTGTAGCTCTGAAGATCTGCCTCCTTTTTCATTTTACGTGGTGAGAATTATTTCTAAGGCTCCCTGCATGGTTCTGAGGCTGGGTTTCCCCATTGGGACACTTGCAAAACTCAGGAATAAAGTGAGTGCTTGATAAGTTTGCTTGAAAAATATTTGAACAATATTTAGAATTGCAAAAAATACACAGCTAAAATGTGCTTGGTGGATGTTAGCCTTGGAATAAAGTTTTAGGATTGCCAAGAAGCATGTTTTGCATCTGTATTTTTAGGTTTCATACAAAAACGTGAGTCACATTACAGGCTTCTCTTCCAGACCTTGAATAGCATTTAGGAATCACTACCTGAAGGTAGCTGGATGGATCACTTTCCCCATGATAAGATTTTACAAAGCAAATAATTTCTAATTAGAATGTGTTAGGAAGAAACGGGATTTGGCTTTTTAGGTCAGCTTTAAGGTAAATCAGTTCCATAAGAAATGTCCTTATGGCACTGATGAGTTTATTAACAAAACATTTAAGGCATTGTTGTTGACAAGAACAGGCTCGCTCTTCTGGGCTAATTCTGGGACTGAATATGGCTACATATTTTTATTATTCAATATATGCATTTTTCTCATTTTTATAACATTCAAACTACAATTTAACTTTTTAAAAGCAAAATTAAGTTCATAACATAATGAAAGCCTAGACAATAAATACATTGACATGTTATAAAAATTAAGTGGGTAACATTGTAATGCACTAAAATATGTGGTAAAATGTTGGAATGCAGGAGAACGTGTCCTACAAAGGAGTTCAGAGTCTGCAAAAGTTGCTGTCCTTATATGTGGTGCCAATTCCTTATATAAACATGATTTCTTCCTATCTACTTACCTTTCAACAGATAGTAGAAGAACTGAGAGACTGTATCCTTCAGTTACGTTTCCCCCACAGAGTACAGAGCAAAGAGGCAACTCCAAAAGTAAAGCGAAAGGTCCTTGGCAGCAGTTCTCCATCAAAATCATCTTGTTTGCCTATGGCCCAGCCACCCCTCTCAGACAGACCTTGCCTTATAGTATTGCATAAACCTCTGGAAAAACTCCTTATCAGGTATTATGTATGGAACATATGTACATGTGCACTTACTTATATCCCTATGGGCAGAAGATTAATTCCCAGAGATGCAGTTGCTTTAGCCTAGTTGCTGTTTTCCAGACGACTTCAGCTATAGTTTTTGTATTCTTTTATCCAATGGACAATGGATGGCTGTGGGTAATGGGAATGTCTTGGAAACTTGCTTGGTTCAAAAAAAAAAAGTTTGTGAGCTTTCTCTGTACCTTGACCTTAATTCATTCACATAAATGTATCTCAAGATATTATTGAATTATATACAGCATGCACTGCAAATAGACTACTTAACATGTCTCCAGATTCATAAAATGTATTTGGGGTACAACATTTCCTTGTACAATGGCGTGCAAATCTGGATTCAAGCATGCATGGAGAGAGACATTTTGTTTTCTCTGCATAGTCTTTTTGATTCTTGAATCTTAGAAAGTTAATACTTTTTTATTTTAAAATAAAAAGGAGAATATGCAAGAAGAGGCAGGGACAGATAGTTTAATTTATGACCATAACAAACCAGTAAATCATTTTCTGGTCATGATAGTTAGAGATACTGGGAATAATTCTGAAACATCCAGCTCACAAGTTTTGCACAGGTAGTGTATTGAGCGTACAATGAGAAATTCAACTCCATGGTTACCTGTTGTCTCAATCCTTCTTTCTCATTCTCAGATATGAAAAGCTGCCCTCTGATTACCATGTTCCATGTCTTTTACCCTTGGAGAATCCTCCCATGTCAGGTCCACTTACTATGGTGGCCAACCGCACAGCTTCCTCTACCCTGGCCTCCTTATCTCGCTATTTTTATCATCAACGCTGGATCTGGTGTGTACAATCAGGGCTGGTCCCGGCAGTGCCCATCACAGCTGTGGCCCAACTACTGTCCACTCTCACTGAGTAAGTACCTATTTGGTCTTCAGATATGTTGGAATCTACAAATAGGGGAGCTGTAAAAGTTAGATCATTAAAATTAATGATCACAATTGAGCCCAAAATCTATATTGCTAAGTGAGAAATTTGTTAAGTGAGTTTTGCCCCAATTTACAACTTTTATTGTCCCATTTGCTAAATGAATCACTGCAGTTGATAAATTAGTATCCTGGTTGTTAAGTGAATCTGGCTTCCCCATTAACTTTGCTTGTCAGAATGTGATAAAAAGATGGTTACATGATCCTGGGACATTGCAACCATCATAAATGTGAGTCAGTTGTCACACATCCGAAATGTGACCATGGAGGTGCTGCAATGGTCATAAGTCTGAAAAATGGTCATGTCACTTTTTTCAGTGCTGTTGTAACCTTGAACAATCACTAAGTGAACGGTTGTAAGTCAAGAACTGCCTGCATAAGAGTTAAAGTGGGAAGGGGTGTGTGTTGCATTTTCTCTGTGGGAAAAGAACATTGTGCTGGGTAAACAAAATTTTCTTGTCTCATGGGAGACCAGGATGTAAAATAGCCTTGTAATTTATTCTTCTCTTTGAAATGATGCAGGATACGCTTGTCCGAAGGCTTCCATTTTGCTTCCAGTGGTGAAGGGATTGTCAGTATGGTCCAAGAATTACCTATGAAGGTAAATCCTGATGCTTGTTTTCTTTTGTTATCTTCTGTGGTGCCACATTGTCCTGTTCACGAGGAAATTGGTAATAGCAGGGTGCATAGAAATATGGTATATGTGCCTTTGAGTCAGTGTTGACTCCTGGTGACTTCCTGGACAAGTCCATGCAGTTTTCTTGGCGAGATTTCAGAAATTATTTACGATTGGCGTCTTCCTAGGGTTGAGAGAGAGAGTGACTGGCCCCTTGTTTTTTCTCCATGGTCTCTCATCTAAAAAAGGCATTTTATGGCAAATTGACACTGCTTCTCCTCCAGTCTTGGAACCTCATTGTGCTAGGAGAGAAGTGGCAAAAGAGCACGACAAATTTACAGTAACTTTTTTTTCCACAGAGTGACTCCACAAGAGTGAGTGGCAATGAGAAGCACACCTGCATTGTTCAATATGTGATATTCCCGCCACATGCTACATCTACCAAAGATAGGTAAGAAAAGAAGTCCTGATCCTAAAAGAAAGACACAAGGAATAGAGTTACCCAGGTTCTTTTGTAGCCACTGTAAGAATGTGCCTGACTAGAAGGCTTCCAAAGAGTAGCTAACTATACCAGGGGTGTCAAACTGGTGGCCTGCAGGCCGGATGCGTCACATGCAGGCCATGCCCACTCCAGCTCTGTGAATGGGGAAAAACGTCACAATATGTCACGTGACAGCAATGTGACGCGGCAAGTTTGACGTCTGTGAACTATACCAACCAATAGCTTTTATGCAAAGGAGTCTTTGGTGTACACAAGATTCTCCACCTCCCCAGAAAGATAACACTGACTTGAAGATCCCATGGTTCTTTATTTGTTGTTTTTATTTAATATAAGACAGTGCTGACTTACCGAATTAATATTACCATATAATCCTTGTAATAAATAAATGATATTTAGGTACTCAAATAATCCATTCTGAAACCAGTAAATGTCTATGAGTATATCATAAAGTATAAACTTGATAATATTCACATACTGTATTAGTTTTTATTCTATTGATCAATAAGATGCCCTTTTCGTTGCAAATCTGAGGTTTTGGTATTTATAATTTTATCCACATTACTGTACCAAGTTGTGTTCGCTTGTTATGTGCTTTTCTGAATTTCAGACTCTGGATCACCCCATTTCTCTCCAAAATGAGCAGAAATGAATACCTATTTCTTTGTACTTATGGACGAGCACTCCATAGGCCTCCTGAGCTTGAAGTATACCTTTGGGTAATCTTTGCCAAAGACCCACAGCTGTGTTTCTCTAGAACCTGAAATTAATCAATGTGCTTTTAAAATGATATCATCATTGAATTCATGTATAAAATTGTTGATTGAGCTTGCCATATTTAGCTTTATCACTGCATAGCGCTCTGTGCTAAAATAAAATGCCATTCCATAAAATGAATTGTAAAAATGTGATGCAATAAAGAATTCTGTAGAAATTTCACAATGAATATATACCGTATTTTCACGACCAAAAGCCGCACCGGATTATAAGCCGCAGTATCA